TAAATTTAAAAAGAGTCTTTTGATGTTGAAAAGATAATTTACTAATATAACACTATATGCCTTTTTGCCTACCTAGCTTCTGTTCAAATTCATTCAGATCTCGTTATAAACCCTTTGAAGAGATGACAACATTTCGGTTTATTTAAAGCTTACTAAGATTTTGAGAGCAATCACCCAACCTAATGATACAGCAAGTCTAATAACTTATCGTTCTAGTATGTATAATTCCGTTGTCTGTTTAAATATACATATATATTTTTTTTCTTCTTTAAATAGAGTTTAATCGTAACCTAAAGTTTTTTTAAAACTAAAAAAAAGTAACAAACTAATTGATAAGAAAATAGGGTTTAGTAAGGCATGCAAGTCGTTATCGCGTTTTTCAAAAATGCAAAGAAACTCACATGTGGAAATGCATGCATGGACTCATTTGAAACACCAACGCTGGCGTTATAAGTTTAAAAATTAATTTGCAATATATTATGTGTGCATGAACAAGTTAGTTTAAAAAAGATAAAAGATAAAAGAGATTAAATTTGAATTAAATTTATTTTCTTTATTAATTGTCGGTAAGATTGCTTTCTTTTCGTTGAGTGGCCAACTGCAGCCGATTGAATAGGATGTGCTGCATGCCCCATTGCTGTGAAACTTTTTTGGGGCATACCGGAAAAGTTTCGGTTGCATTTGGCCGTTGTCTCTACAACACCGAAAAGTGGCTTAGACTGTCGACACAAAACTTCAGTCAGCCCCGGCTTAAATCTTGTCAATTCCTATATTCTTCTTTTTTCTGTGGGCAGGAGTGTGTGCTTCTATGTTTTGCAGAAGTGAAAATAAAGTTTTTAGTTTTGGCTGAGAGTACGTGACGAGTTTTTGTCATTAGCCAGAGTGGGAAAAACTTTTTCGAGGCGAGCTGCCTGTTAATGAGCTGCCATAATGATTATTGCGTGGGAACTTGTATCAAATAATGGACGGCCTCGTAAACAAATCGAAAGAGAAAACTCCGTTCTGAGAGGCAATTTTAGAGGATTTATTTGGGCCACCTTCAATGGATGTGCAGAAATTGCTTTTCCACTTTTCCGCCACTAATCACAAGTGCCCAATCATCTTTATTGCTCGACTGGAACTCAAATAGCGCTTGTCGAAGCCAAACAAGGATGCTGAGTACAAGGACAAGGATTGGGGGGCTTGCGAACCACTCAAATTGCTGCCGTCAAAGCCGCTGAAATTCGATTGCTCGCTGAAATTCTCTGCGATTGTTTGGCAGACGCGCTCTTCATGTGGCTGGGGTTTTCGAGGGGCTTGGTGGTGGTGGCTTAGGAGGAGCAACCATCCATCGGTGAAATATCCGTTAAAGCCGCAGCACACACACTCGGAGCCAAAGACAAGCAACTCGAGCAAAGGTGCCAACCAGACGGAATAAACAAAATACACGTTGCGTTTCATCGAAAAGAAAGCATAACAGTAGCAGCATCCACCGCGAAAGCAAGGAGAAAGTACTAAAGGCAAGGCCAAAAACCTAACCCAAAAAAAAAAAAAAACGGCAAGTCGAATCCACAGAAAATGCTAATTCTGTTTTGGGTTCTTGTGCGTCAGTGGGTGGCCCGCAATGTACAACGTACGGAGCTGGCCAGCAAATTGGGCTAAACATGCCTATCTATGCAGCACGTACATTGGCATTATCTATAATCCATTAGGCGCCCAGACTGAATCAATTGCAGGCACTTGACACATGAATAAATGGCTTTTAAACTGACACCGAAATAAATTAAATAATAAAAATCTCAACAGCGACTCGGGATTTGTTAGCGCCTAAGCCGTAAAAACTCAAATGTTTCCACTTCGGAGCAGGGCAATTTATGTTTGATTTAGGCTCCTTTATAATTTGAATATCTTAAATCCTGCCTCAGTTTTACAACAAAAATTTGTATACTTTTTGCATTCATTTCACCGCTGGGTAACCTCGACTGATTTCTTTTTTCTGTTCTTACAGTTTTTCTCCCTCTAAAAAAAGCATCTAAATTCCAATCAACCGGCTAAGCATCCGAATCCACGCGGTACATGAAACCGAAACTATTTATGCATTTAGTTAAGCCCGTCCGGCTTTTGGACATCGGACTTGCCAAAGCCAAATGCCAATTACCACGAAAGCGCCATTGAGTAAGCCATTTAAACGCAGACGGCCAACTAGCCAATGCAACTGCGAGTCTATGGAGAATCCAAAGTCAGAGATTTTCCAGGACTGGGTCATTCCAGGGTGGGAAGTGCGAGGGAAATTACTTAATGCGGTCATTAGTTCGGCGCATTTGAACAACTAGATTCAACTGGGTGCGACTATACGCCTGCACTGGACAAAATATTAAATTTCGCATAGAATTTTAAAGTTTTGAAAAGATTTCGGATTCGATTATTAGTGTAATTTATTAATGTTGCTAGTTAAATAATAATTTAATTTTTAGAAGGTATTAAATTTTTAAGTCAGTAGATAAGAAGAAGATAAGTACTACCATATTTTTATAGCCCCTTCTCGTAACGTAAAAAGATATACAAAGGTTTGGGAAAGGTACTAGTTATTTGGATATAGGTAAAGTACAAGGTATTTGTGAAAATAAGTAATTCATTTTTTATAAATAATTTTTATAAAATTAAATAATTTTGAGGTCAATTTGTTCTTCACGAAGTTGCAGTAGAATTTTGATAAAGACGCTCTGACAATTAAGTCAGATTGTAGAAACATGTAAAAAGAAATATCTTATATCTTGCGTATGCGGTGGAATTAACTTATCATCAAATTGCAGTGAATTTAATTGAGTGGTATCAATCTAATTTGAAAATAAAAATAAATAAAAGTATTTCGGTACATAAATAATAATTCTTAAGATAAATAAAAATCTTTATCTAGGGAAGGTAATATCATATTTTGTAAAAAGATATAAATTCTTGATCAGGATCCTTGTCTGTCCGTATAAACGTCGAGATATCTGAAACGTTAAAAGCTACAGATTTGGGGTTTTAAATGTACATTCTGATTATGCCTACGCAGCGCAAGTTTATTTAAAAATGGGGCCACTTCCACTCTAACTCCTACAATTTGCGAAAATTTGTCCCTGCACAATGACACATGCTAGAGTTCCGTTACAAGGCTTAGTATGTTTATTCGAACAATTTTTATCGACTCATTCAAACATTTTCTAAATCTAACCATAGTTTATGAGCATTATTGTTAGTTTTTCGGCAGATGGTGCCACCTAAAACCCTATTATGTTTGGGAGGCATATTTATTATTATTAAGTTGGTTTGCTAGTAAAGGGTATCTAAAAGTCGGTGCACTCGACTTTAGCGATTCCTCTGGTTATACCCGTTACTCGTAGAGTAAAAGGGTATATTGTACAAGAAGGAAGCGTTTCCAACCCAAGAAACATACATACATTCTTGACCTGGATCAATAGCCGAGTTGAGTACTCAACCACAGCTCTGCCGCTGCTCTGCCGCTGATCGGACGCTGCCGGTGATCGCTGATGTACAGAACGAAGGAACTGAAAACGGGGATTGCTGCACGCTCTTAGCTTCTAGTGTTGGCTATGCAGTTCAAGAGATTGCGCCACCTAAGCTCCGATTGTTTTGTGGGGAAATGTGTAGCTGAGTAACGGGTAACCCATAGTCGGGGAACTCGACTAAATCGACCACCCGCGAAACCAACCGAGGGGAGCAGCATTGAAGCACAATTCGCGAGAGGATAAACGCGAGATGTGATAAGAAAGAAAGCAAACTTCGGCAAGCCGAAGTTCATATACCCTTGCAGCTATTGCAAGAATTAAATATTTTTAAAAACATTAAAATTATGATTTACTTGCGTATAAGTTTAAAAACTTAAAGCTATGATGATCTGCAGCTCAATTATTAGATCGTTATTTTTATAATTATAATAATTTTATAATTTTTATTATTTGATGAAATTTAAACCGTAATTCTGAAATATTTAACCATTACTATATTTCGAAGAACTAAGAAAAAATATTAAAAAACAGAAAAGTTATAATTTTTTCTTATTTATTTTTTCGATTGTTCCTATGGGAGCTATATGCAATAGTCGTCCGATTCGGCACGTTCCGACTTATATACTAACTGCAATAGGAAGACAACTTTTGGGAAAGTTTCGTGCAGATAGCTTTAAAACTGAGAGACTAGTTTGCGTAGAAGCGGAAGCTAGATCGACTCGCCTAGTGATGCTGATCAAGAATATATATACTTTATAGGGTCGGAAATGTCTCCTTCACTGCGTTGCAAACTTCTGACTGAAATTAAAATACCCTCTGCAAGGGTATAAATATAGATAAGAAGCTTGTGATAAAATTTGATACAAATCGGTTTAGCCGTTTTCAAGTAAGGTGCGTCACCGTCTTTAAAAACACCGTTTTAAGAAAAATTCGTTTAAAGTTTGTGCTTTTACTTTCAAGCACTCTGAAATACCTTCAAAATTTGGGTATAACTTCAAAAATATTCACCGAAAAGAAAAAATAAAATACGCGTTTTTTTAAATTTCAAATTCCAGATGGTGCTTCTTAAAAAATATAGTTTTTTATTTAATGTGATTAATAGCACCTTCTAGTGCTTGGAGAGCGATGAATGGGGGAAGGATTTATTCCCTTCCTTGTCGGCAGCTAAAAAATAGAAAACGGTCTTCCCTATTTTTCCTCTGTCCGCTGTTAAAACATGGAAAAGAGAAGAATATATGTTTACCCTCTCTAGCTGCCTTATAATTATAGATAGAAGGTTTTATGTCCTAGCTTACTCGTTGCTGTTAGCAGTTTGTGAGATTCTAAAAATACCCTACTCTCTCCATGTTAAGCCACTAGACACCCCCTTCTATTCATTTGTCATCCCTGTGTGCAATGAAATCAGAATGGTCAGATTTGTGTAGGGATTAAGGGCATCCGCCGCTCTTCTTCTAAATGTGCTTTTAGCATGCTTCAAAGTTGCGCTAGGAAGTCTACCCCCTCTCTTACTCTCTACAACTGTTGATCTTGCTGAGTCTTCGGCCGGATCCGAAGGCGCAACCATGGTGCAACTATACATGGTAGTCTTATCAGCACCATAGAGTAATAATGTATAGTTTCCTACTCTATGGTCGATCTAGCCATGTCCGTCTGTCCGTCCGTTTCTACGCAAACTAGTATCTCAGTTTTAAAGCTATCTGCATGAAACTTTTCCAAAAGTTGTCTTTCAGGTAGTATATAAGTCGGAACGAGCCGGATCGGATATAGCTCCCATAGGAACAATCGAAAAAAAATAAATAAAAAAAATTATAATTTTACTGTTTTTTAATTTTTCTTTTAGTTCTTCGACATATAGTAATGGTTTTAATGGTAATAAAAAACCTATTGAGCAAATCATCATAGCTTCCATGTTTTTAAAGATACACGCAAGTAAATCGTAATTTTAATGTTTTTAAAATATTTAATTCTTGCAATAGCTGCTGGTATATGAACTTCGGCTTGCCAAAGTTTGCTTCCTTTCTTGTTTTAATCTAAAATGTTCTTTATAACACTTTGTTACTTTTTAACGTAAATAAAAGAATACTTGTGTGATTTTGGTCATTTATGAACAACTAAATAAAATCGAAATTTAAAAACTTTTTGGCTTTTGGATATATTATTCGAAATAATTTAAATTTAAAAGTTCATCTTTGGTGTTACACCGCTTTATTCAATAATTATTAAGTCCAAAGAACTTGCAAGAAATGACTTAAGCGCACTAAGTCCAATACTCTTCGCTGCATCATTCAGTATCAGTAACTCCACTGCCTCAATATCATTCTTTGCTGATAAGGCCTTGATCACATGATTCTTCATTCTATAGCGTTGCTTGTTAGACATTTTCTTGATAATAGTAATCCACCAATGAATAAAGCGGCGCTAAAAATAAAAACACTATGTAAAGCTCCTTTGAATGTCTTCTTAGAGGTCACGCAGGCTTGTTGACACAGGAGTATTACTAGGTTGTCGTCCTTCATTTTTACGCACTGAATATATAAAAGTGTTAGTTCTTAAGCGCTGACTTTTTTCGACCATTTGGGATCGAATTTGCAATAAAATGCATTATATGGGAGTATTATCTATATCACCGCCGGTTACTTTGCATACAATTAATATTGTGTGTATTTAAATTAAGTCCATTTCCAACCTCTCACGTTCTCGTTTTCAATCCCCAAGAGGAAGTGTAAAGATCATAAGTGAAGTTAGTCATGTGACTTCCCTTAATTACTCTAGATTTATTTTTTGCGACATACTTTTGAACTTGTTGTAAGTTTTCTTGTCTGCTCACTGCCAAATCCAACGCTGACTGAGTTATTTTTCCTCTTTTGTAATCGCTCTTTTTATTATTGCGTATACATACATTGCGTATATATACATTCTACTTTGTTTCGCAAGATAAAAATGTAGCAAAACAAAAAACAAAATTTTCTTTAATAGATTTTCACAATACGACACCTATTGAGTAAATTGCTTAGCACGGACAAGAACCATAAAACTAGTTGATGCAACAACCATTAAAAGCACCCTCTATTGACCTTTTTTTGTCGAATGTTCTTATACTTTTTCTGGTTAGGTTCCATGCTTAAAGAAATATGTAATATAAGATGAGTACATCACAAAACAATCGGAATTATGTGGCGCCATCTGTCGAACTGCATTGCCAACACTAGAAGCTAGGAGCGTGCAGCAGCCCCCGCTAACTGTTATTTCACCATGTCACTATACATCAGCGATCACAGACAGCCCAGCGGCAGAGGATCTTAAAAAATCATTTACTTCTAAAATATGTATACCAGTAGATATGACCGAAACACACAATAAATCCCTAATTTTATTAGGAGAATACATAAGAACAACAAACAAGATGACATATTTATTGCGTTTAATGTCAAAAAGTTGTTGTCTTCTCAACTCGTTATTTGCAAAAGTTGAAAAAAACATTGTTAAAATCAAATCAAGAAACTTTAAATTATTTCGGGTAACACAGCTGATTTCCACACGAGTTGCTTCACACTTTTGTTGGTCGGTTTCCATCACTGACTTTGTTATTTTTTGTCCTTATTACCGCTTAATTAAGTGTATTATTTTGGGCGAAACGGGTTTTATCGGGATCTTTATATAGACTTCGGCCACCCTGCTTGGCAACACAACTTGTTAAAAGGTATCAGCACTGCCATCAGAAGTTTCCTGCACTGGTTAAAGGGCGGATGAATACAATTATGTAAATATTTGAAAACTTGTACTTCTGACGGCTAATGTTAGGTTCTCCGATTTTATGTGTTAAACTTGTATACCATTAATACCATTAGCCCTAAGGCAGTAAAACTCAGACTGTGAATAGTCTGGCAGCTGGCAGTCATCTGATTTTGTTGGGAACAAAAGGAAGATGGAGACGGGAATTATGTTAAAGAAAACCCGAAAATGTTATTAAACTTACTTCCGGGTTAAAACTGGAACAGACCAGTGTATTTTTATTCGTTTTATCCACTTGTACAGAAATGTTCAAAATTATTAATGTTATTAGCAAATTATAAGTTTTCCCAAAGATGGCGCCACCTTGACCAGATTATTTTCAGGAGGCATATTTACTTTAAAATTGATAAGCTGAGTGATAGTGATTTAATAGATTTTTCATACCAAGGGTTGTAATTTGAATTTGCAAAAATAGGTTCCAGAATATGTAAGATTGTGGTGGTTGAAGAAAGCTTTTTTGCCTGTTATACACCTCCGCAAAGTATTTTTTCTAGAACCTTTATTAATAATGAAAATTGGGACAAACGGGCAAAACATTATAGCAAGTGTACTAAATGTAGAACTGCTGTTATTACAAAATATATTTATAAACAAAACTTCTATACTCACTATGAAACCAACAATGTTTATAAATCTATCTATAAAACGGGTAATATGAAGGACTTTCGTCAAAATTGTTTTTAGCTAGAAAGCCGTGAATAGCGTAAAAACTTCGAAGTGCTGTGGAGAGCAATTAATAACAAACCTCTGAAAATGAAGTTAAAAAGTGATTTGACTAGTGCTAACTGTTCTATTATGGAAAAACCATGGCCGGCGGATAAAATTTCTGGCTGCTTTTTAGCATTTTCACAAACCATATCGAAAGCCTAGGGTAACACATTTCCCGATCAAAAATATTATTCTTTATTTCAGTTTTCACTTCCGAAAGATTTACAATCTAATTTCCCAGACCTGCTATAATATACAGGCCTGTTACAGTTTTCACTTCCGAAAAATTCACACGGATTAAATTTTCCCAGACCTGTTCCAACTTTCACTTCCGAAAGACTTGCACGGAATCGAAGTTCCCTCTGTTAATTCTCTGTTAAATTCCGCAAAAAAAACTCACGGAAACTTTTTGCTAAGCATTTGGCTGACAGATTCAGATCCGCAAGATCCGAAATTAATTCTTGTAAAATTCCTGCGATAACTTAAATGCAAATTAAATTTTTACCTTGTTCTTTAATAGTTTAAGAACATTGCTGCATAAAAATTATTTGTGATGGCACCTAAGAATCACTTCGATTCTAACCTACTGGAGTTTTGCAAATCCGCCGCCCCTGTTCTAGTTTCCGAACGAATTTGAAAGAAACAAAGAAAGTGTTGCCATGGTACGAAAAAAACAAGTATTTTTATTTATTTGTTTTTATATGGTTAGAAGTGTAGATTATCTAAGTTAAGTTTGATTAACTTATTGTGCAAAGCGTGTTGTGTTGGGACCTTTTTCATCGTCTTTGTCAACTTTGTTCCCGAACACTAGTTGTGAAAAGTTTGCAACACTGGTGCCAAGCAGCTGATTCACGCACAAAATTTAAAATACAAAATTTAAGTAAGAAAATAAAAATTGTTAAATCAAACCAACAAGCTTTGAATTATTTCGGGCAACACAGCTGATTTCGACACGAGTTGCTTACAACTTTTGTTGGTCAGTTTCCATCACTGCCTTTAAAATAGGTAGAATTTGTAATTTTTTGATGGTGTGCACCAATAATGCACAAAGATTTGGAACATCAGCAGGTCAAACTTAGGCAAATCATAGGCTTTTGTTAAAAGCAGTAGCGGCAGTCAGCTGTTTTATTTCCCCCCAAATAGTAATTTCCCTAGGAAATTTGAAAGGGAATTTGGTTATGTTAAAGGGAAATCCGCCAGTGTTAAAGATTTCGCTTCCGATTGAAAACTGAAACTGACCTGATAAACGAAAAAATCCTTATGGAATCAAATTTCCCTCCATTTACACTTTTTTAACTTCCGCGCGAAGCCTCATGGAAACTTTTCGCCAGGAATTTGGCTGACAATTTCAGGTCCGCAAGCAGAGAAATTAATTGTTTTAAAATACTTTGCGGTATGTTAACGTGCAAAACAACTAGTGTAACTAGGCACGATTTTTTTTAAATATATGTGGCTTTCCTTTTCCTTATCTGGGAAATGATTTTTATTTATCTTAAGAATATGGTCTGTTAGGTACTTACATATGTACTGAATTATTTGTGTTCATTATTGTTTAAAACCACTTAATTAAATTTGGAATTATTTTTGCAAAAATTCTGTTGAACAATATCATTATTTCACTGCAACTAGATGTTTCTTTTACATGTTTCCACAACCAGACTTAATGGCCGGAGAGTATAGAAAATACTCACAATATAACTGAAACTTCAATTATGATTAATTTTTAAAATAAATTATACAAAAACTGTCTTATGCTTACCTTTTTTGACTTGAAAAATGGTATTGTAAGTATTAATTTTGCAAAAACCTTGTGCCTTACCTATAAAGTATACATATTCTTGATCAGCATCACTAGGAGAGTCGATTTAGCCATGTCCGTCTGTCCGTCCGTCTGTCCGTCCGTCCGTCCGTTTCTACGCAAACTAGTCTCTCAGTTTTAAAGCTATCTGCATGAAACTTTTTCAAAAGTTGTCTTTCTATTGCAGGTAGTAACTAAGTCGGAACGAGCCAGATCGGACGAATATAGCATATAGCTCCCATAGGAACAATCGGAAAAAATTTTAAAAATTATAACTTTGC